TTGAAAGGTCCTCCTGATGTGAAAGGTATTATAAATTGTATTGTTTTTGTGACCACGGTAAAGTAAAATGTTAGGCCGCAAATATTTTAGAAGAAAGGAGTGTGGCACTGGGAAACTTCACTGGGAGTTTTATTTTTACTGTTTATATCTCTGATGATTGCAGCTCACACTATGGAGCAAAAAGTTTAATATTTTTTTGAACGTTGGCTTTGAATTTTTTCCCTAATTTTCTCCCTCTTCTGAAGGCAGTGATTAATTTACTTTAAAAGGCACCTAAAAATATGTTTGAAGGGGGTGAGGTGCTAGGGGTATGGGGGGAGTTGTAATCCCAAGATTTATTGACAGGTTCCTGGAACAGCAAATTTAACTTGTGCCAACTTCTCAGATATGGACTGGGAACAGTCTGCACTGTTGCAAACACCATCTGTTGTCGCTGCTTGAAATTTGGTGAAGCTGTTTTGGGTTCATTTAACTTTTTTTTAAGTTCTTAACGGGGTCTAATACACACAATGTTAAAAGAATTCACTGGTAGCAATGGTAAGTTTCAATTGCTGCCTTCTGCAGACATCTGGAAGTGCATCATTACTTCGGCATGTTTGTAGGTATATATAGGCAGGTGTGATCAGCAGATGAGAAAAGCCTTAGGCGGGGAACTCCACTTGGAAAACCTTTCAGCAGAGTTCCCATAGGTTGTTCCAATGTTTTCTGGTTTCCAGAGGAAATCACTATTTCCAACTACATTTTTTTTTGTTCATCCATGTGTCTGACACGCAGAAACCTGTTACCATGCTTAAGAGTATGTAAACCAAACTGAGTTCCCCATGTGTATGCCGCTGCACGTGGAATTTCCCTGTGTCTGGAATGGAATGCCAAGGAGAGACCACCCTACTTACCTAATTCCAGAGATGATTAGATGCAGGTTGGCAAGAGCTGAGTGTTGCGGACTCGGAGGACGGTCCTTTCTACTTATCTCAGATCAGTTTATCAGTCCCTTCTCTGTACATTAATACTAAAACCTTACCATCATTGTCAACGTTGACATAAACTCCAGCACACTTGTGTTGACAAATTGTATAGGCCCCTAATATAATTCAAGACGTTGTTTTATTACCACTTATGTCAACACTGTGCTCTTAAATAACTTTTTTTGCCTACATGACTATTTTTGTAAATGAATTGATGACATTTTTGTAAATAAGATAACGGAAATACATGTAAATAAATGGCTCAGAAATCTTAATTAAACGTATGATGCGTAATAAATAAATGAAAATACTTGTAAATACATGGTTCAAAATTTTTAATCGCAGAATATCTATTGTCTGCTGGTGACCACCTGTGTTAACAAACCGCTTGCGTTGACAAAACTCGAATGGCTCCTGAATGTCGACATAAATGGCTCAGACTATAAGTGTCGTGAGACTGCTGGAGTTTAAACCACATAGCTTGCCTTTGAGACCACTGTCTGGAGAGCTTATCCAGTCTTCCTATCATGGCTTTGATTTACTATGTTAAAAGGAGCCAAGTGGGAAGAGTCCCTCCTTCAAGTCCTCTCAACAAGCCAGGTTGGCTGGTCTATTAATGACTTCTATTATGAATCACCACATATTAGACACCGAAGAGTTAACACTACATACTCCATCAGTGCAAAGTAATGTTGTCAGACCCATCAATTGTCTGTCTGTAACATTTCCTCCTCTGTGGTTGCTTAGGATTTCTTAGTATATTTTACTTTATGTGGAGTCCTGTAGCTCAGTGGTTAGAGCACTCGCTTTGCAAGTGAGAGACCTGAGTTCAATTCCAGGCAGGGCGAAACCTTGGGCAAGTTTCCTTACTCCACACGCCTAATAATAATCCCTCCAAAAAAAAAAAAACAATAATAAATTGGTCATTTTCAATCTACGACTGTTTGTGGGACATTGCTGTGCGCAATTGGCTGCCGCGTTCGCCCACAAATATACAGTCAATTCACTTTACAGTCTATTCTGTGAAGCGCTTTGGGACGTCCTCCCGACGTGAAAAGCGCTATATCAAATGCAAGGATTATTATTTAGTCTGCCCCTCACTGAGGACCATGTAGCAGTTTAGCAAGGAGCAGAAACTTACTAAAATATTTTGAATTCGATGAGAGAACTAGAATTTTTTGTTTGTCTGTTGGATTGGTTTGGTGAATGTGTGAGCTCCTTTTGAGCTAATCTTCCAGCAATTTATATATTCCCATCTCAGTTGTCCAGGAAGAGAAAATGCCAGGAATTCATTAAACATTAGATCTTCAGTCTTTCATCACAGCTATTAGTTTTAAATCATTTATGACAATTGCTCATTTTGCTCGTGTGTCTGCATTATGTTCTCTCAATTTAGAATTTAAGGCTTAAATTTATTTCAGTCCTTTCCTAAAAAAACACTCTCCATTTTGCTCTCCATCTCTCACATCCTCTTGTGTCTGATAAAAATGAAAGGCTGCAGTAGATTTTCATCTCTTTATAGGATATTCCCTTGAACTTAGGGATCTTGTGCTTCATTCAGACTAGAGTGCAGACCTACCATGCCTAACATTGCCTTAGCAATGCAAAATTTAACAAAACAAATGCAATTTTGATACCGAAAGTGGGGAAAGAGGTCTTTATTGAAAATGGTCTTCAAACAGACATTACAAACATTTTTTAAACTTATGACAATCTTAAATTTTAAGACATAATAATAAACCTTGCATTTGATATTTGCACCCTTTACTTTGGGAGGAAACCTCAATGTGCTTCAAGATTCATTGCAAGGTATAGTGACAATTTTGTAGGTAAAAGGCTAAAGCTATGAGCCATCATCAGATTTCTAAATTTGGAAAGCTCAGTGAAAGTTGGAAAAGGTGATACTGTAGATCAGCAGGCAGGTGGGCAGAGTATACTATGTAAATTAGGGGTTGACACAGTCAAGTCAGTACAGAAAGTGGAAAGCTTAGGGTGGTTAGCAATCACCGAAGAGAAAAAGACTTGGAACAAGAACAAAAGTATTTTTTTTAAATTGTCTTGATTGAACAAGTGTGATCAAATTCTGTTGCATAAGATGGGGTGCGATATGAAAGGCACTTTACAAATGTAAGGTTGTTGTTGTTGAGAAGGTGGTGGATTCAAACTCCAGATCAGAACTTTGAACTCATATAATTGAGGCTGAAGCTCCAATGCAGTGCTGAGGGTGTACTGCATTGTTGGATACAATGTTAAACTGCGATCCCATCTGTCTGTTCAGGTGGGTGCTGAAGGTGTCATGGTACTTTTCAAAAAGAGAAGGAAGCTGCTCCCGGTGTCCTGGCCAATGGGGCATCAAATAAAATTGATCACTTCATAACATTTGATGGTACATTGCTGTAGGAATATTCGTTGCCACGTTTACCTACAAAAATACAATCATTACAATACAGTATATCCTGTGAAGAACTTTGAGACATCCTTCTGACATGAAAGGTGCTTTATCAAATGTAATGACTATTTATTGAACGGTGGTTCACTTTCTCTTACTTTCTCCCTCCCCCAACCCCCCGCCCCCCCCTCCCCCTGTTCCATTTTCACTCTATTTCAGCCATTTTTACGATGTCTAGATGTTGTTGACAATGCAACTGATTCTTCTATTTGGAAAATTCACCTGGTTTCTGGCCATATATTATTTATGGTTTAAATTTGTTTGTGTGCCAGTTTCTCCAGGGAAAAATGAATCAATTCACTCTCTCTTCTATCCCCCAAAATGGCAGCAGGGAGAATGTGGTGGGTATGAGCATTCAATGCTGATATTGGCTGGGACCTTACAAGCAGATTTTTTTTTAACCCAAGAACATACGAATTGCTAGACGAAAGAAGCCCAAGTTCACCTTCTGTATTCCACGATATTATTTCCTGAAAAAAATCTATCCAATTTGCTTTTGAAAGAATCGACACTTGCTGCTTCCACCGCCTCACCGGGGAGACTGTTCCATACATTTATCACTCGTTCACTGAAATAGTGTTTCCGCAATTTTTTTTTGTATTTACCCCCCCTTCAATCGCAGCCCACGTCCTCTGGTTCTACTTTTCTGGACAAGTTAAAACAGTTTATCATGGTCTGCATTCTCTTTTGCATTCTAATTTGAAAGGCCAGAAAATGACACTTCTTGTTGATTGGAATTTACAGATAACCAGCAATTCGAAATCAGGGATTACTGCTTCTGATTTTAGTATTTTAATTATCTGGCTTTCGGGTTGCACTGTTGCCTCTTAAAACATTTCAGTTCTAATAGTCATAAGATCTAAATTTGGTTAAAGGTTAGACTTTAGGATGCGAGGTTTGAAACCCTTCTGATTCACAAATTGTAAAAAAAAAAGTTCTTGTTGAGTATTTTAATGCAAGAGTCACTGGTAAGAAATGACAAATCCTTGAACTTTCATGATTGTGTGGTGAGGCTGCGCTGACTAATTGTTCATCCGGAATACGACTGATTGTTGAGAGGATTTTGTGGTGAGGTATTTTCAGGTTATTTATTAGATCATCAATGATACTCAACCACATTGCAGTTCCCGAAACATCACACCATGAGGTCTGCTAACCACACATTGCACTGAGACTGAAGCAATAGAGTGTGTTGGAGTTGGAGTTGTTGTACAACCTTGTGTTTGGGAAACACATTTTGGTGCATGGTATGGGGTGTTTTACATAATTTCTACGTCAGAGAAGGAGCTATAAGCAATGTCTGTTTTGTCAGGCATTATGGTGTATTAGACAATATAAAGCAAGGTTCCATATTTAAATTTGAAGCAATTTACTGCACAAACAATCCACTTTTAATTAGAAAGATAAATTGCATGAATTGATAAATAGTGATAATAGGATTTATTTATTGAACATGATAAAAGGAAACGTCACATTAAATTTTGTACATATTCTTTTATAAATTATTAGTATTTCTGTTTGTTATCCAGTATGTGACATTATTATTATTTATGTGTCTGAACTTTTGATTCTTTGCCTCTTTTCAGTGATGGAAGAGTTGATAGTGGAACTGCGTATCTTTCTGCAGCTTCTTGACCATGAGTATTTGACTTCATCTGCTCGAGAGAAAAAGACTGTCGTTTGCAACATCCTTCAAAGAATCAAGTCTACATCAGGTTAGTGTCAAGCAACAACAACAACTTGCACTTATATGGCACCCTCCACACAGGGTAGTGTCTCAGAGTGCTTAACAGTGGTGGAATAGTTCTAAGCAACAGTTTAGAAATTATTGGGGTATTCAGTGACTAGCATTGTTGGGATTGGAATTGAACAGTTATTATAAATTAGTTTTCTTTCTCAGCTGAGCTGAGCTGATGGCAGTCTTTTCCACCTATAGATCTGACCCTAATTCACCAGCAGATCATGGAGCAGTGACAGACAGGGTAGGCATCTGACTCTGAGCTGGGCAGGTGGTGGGGGGGGAGGTGACAATAAGCACGGTCGAAAAGGAAGGTTTTCAGGCCGGACTTGAAAAAGGGGAGAGAGGGGGCAAGGCAGAGGGGTTGAGGGAGATCATTCCAGAGTTTTGGAGCGTGGTGACTGAAATCACGACCTCCAATGGTGGAGCAGAGGGTGCAGGGGACAAGCAGGAGGCCAGTGCCAGTCAAGTGGAGGCATCGGATGATGGATTGGGGAGTGAGGAGGTCGGAGAGGTAGGGAGGTGCCAGGGAGTGACGGGATTTAAACATCAGTGTGAGGATCTTGAAGTCGATTTGTTCGGATGGGGAGCTAGTGGAGCATGGCCAGAACTGGTGAGATGGGGGTACGGGTCAGTATGTGGGCAGCAGAGCTCTGCTCAATGGATGAACTTTTCATGCTTAAGCGGAATAAGCTTGTACATTTGGAGCCCTGTTATAATGTGCCTTGGTATAGTACATGTCTGTTTATACTATTCTTGATGGCCCAGGAGTCAGACTTTTTGTTTTTTTTAAGTATGGGAACCGGCTGGCGTGCAGGAAGCCTGCCGACTGACCAAACATATGTGGTGAAATCTACTATTGTGGCCTTATTTATAGTTTGTTTTGGTATGTTATGGACATAGCCACTGCTTTAAACCAAGGTTCCATTGCATTAAGGTAGCTCATGTTTTGTATTGTGGTTAATTATTGACTCAAGATGTAAGCATCAGTTTAGAAATCATTGGGGTATTCAGTGACAAGCGTTGTTGGGATTGGAATTGAACAGTGTTATCATAAATTAGTTTTCTTGCTGCCTGGCCATGACCAACATTCTCAGACGAACTGAGCTGACTGCAGTATTTTTCACCTATAGATATGACTCTGATTCACCAGCAGATCATGGAGCAGTGTCAGTCAGGATAGGCATGATATTATGTCTAGCACAGCAGCTGGCTCAGTCGAGCGCTGCTATAAGACGAGCACAATGCTTAAAGAACAATTATTATTCTCATTTGGCAGCCTTCATCTACTGTACTTGTGGATATTCTCAATGTAGTCTCTGGAGGCAGGATAGTACATTAAACTTAAAATGAAATTTAATTGAAAAATTCAAACTTGATAAATAACTGATTCACTGCACAGATATTTCTCATGCCCTATATCAAAAAGTAAATATATATATCTATTAGAGATTGATTTGATAAGTAACTGGGGGCACAGTTCTTTCCAAAGGTATGAAATCTGAGTTTGTTTTATTTCTGCCAACTGTCTGCAGAATGTCCATGGGGCTGGCAGTGCAGAAATGTGTACGTTGGCTTGTGTAAGTTAGCTGACAGCTCTACGCACCTCCAGCCATACATAATGGTGGCTGATGCTACTGGCATCAGGAAGGAATATGACTGTTTGCAGCATTCTGTTGGCTTGAGAAGCCATACTTCAGTATGATGAGGAACATAATATGCCTGGAAGCATTTATTTACAGGGCAGGATTGTCATTGAAGACTGAGCTTCCCTGGCTATCCTGCAAAAATGGCATAACATTGCAGGCATTTATAACAGAGTGGCAAAGAAGAATTTAAATAATAATTCCTTCACCATCTTCATGTCGCGCCTTGAAAACCTTCGTCTTTTACCGCACTTACGGTCACCACTCAACTCCTCTCAATTCAGCGTAGTGCAAGTTGTTGTTATTTGTTGCAAAATATATAGCTCTTTTTTGCAGATTACATTTACAAGCACAAGCTTGTTCCTCACTCCAATTGTGATTCATTGCAAAACAGCCTGCTTCTTGATACATTCTGCTGAGAGAGAGAAGAGTTGCATCAGAATAAGGGAATTTTTTGTCATATCTTGCTGCCAAGAAAAACTTGCTTTGTGTGATTTTCTGGCAATTCAATACTTTTTAGCCTGTGACCTAACCCATGGGAAGTACTAAATGTAAATATGGGACAATTGTGTTCCGTTTGGATCATCTAATCCAAAATGAATACAAAACAGAGTTGCTGGAAATCCACAGTATTGGAAAGAGAAAGACGGATTAACATTTCAGGCAAACTCAACCGTTTCAGATTTCCAGCATTTGCATTTTTCATTCTACTTTTCCCAAAGTTAATACAATAATAATGAATAATAATTCTGTAATAATCCTTGCATTTGATATAGCTCCTTATCATGTCTTTGAGACGTCTCAAAGTGCTTCACAGAATATACTGTAAAGTGAATTGACTGAATATTTTGTGGGTGAAACGCGGCAGTCAATTGTGCACAGCAGTGTCCCACAAACAGTTGTGGATTGAAGTGACCAATTTATTATTATTAATTTTTTGAAGGAATTATTACCCCAAGAAAAACGATCTGCCAATCGACTAACAACCAAGTTCCTACTTGATGCTAGATAAACAGAAACATGTGAAGTAACAAAACTTGCCCAACGTTTCGCTCTGCCAGGATTCAAACCCAGGTCTCTCACTTGCGAGGCAAGTGCTCTTAACCACTGAGATACAGGACGCCACAATAGTTAATATATACATTTTATATAGCGCAGTCTTCCAAGCAATCTTCCAAGCAACTCTTAAGCATTTAGCAGGATTTTTCTTTACTGTAAAAGTGTAGTGACTGTATTTGTAGGTGAATGGACAACAATGTTTCATAAGCAGCCATAAAGGGACAAAAAAATGTTGTCTATGGAACTGTTGATTCTGACATATGGGAAACTCCCTTCTCTTTTTGAATAGTGCCACATTCAATCTCTCCCCAAACAAACAGAATATTGGTTTAAGGTCTCATCCAAAGGATGGCGCCTCCATCAATGCAGCAACCCCCCCCCCCTCCCAGCATTGCATTGGAGTGTCAGCCTGGACTGCGTTCTGTGCAGTATCTGGAGTACAGCAGTGTTATATTCCACATCGTCTCAAATTTGGTTAGAATAAAAACCAAACCAAATCAAATTTGGTCACAATTGAGAAACTGTAGTTTCTCTGTGAATGGGGCTCACCCTATGTTGATAATTATTTGTTCATAGGCCCTATCCATTTAAAATTGCCTTTTTCTTTAAAATTGCTGAATGCCTACATGTGCCCTTCTGTATCTAAATACTTCTGTCATGCATATACTTAGTGCAGAGTTCCTTCTCATAATGACAGGTAACCAGGTAGCAGTTGCCTTTTTTTCTAGAGCAATAACAATTAACAAATACTTTCCTGATGATTGGTGTAGCAGAAAGGATCATTTGGTCAATGCACTTTTGCCCATTTAGCTATGTTGCTTGAGTCTTTTGCTCAGGGAATAGATGATAACAGAAGAATGCCCAATCCCTAGTAATTCCTGATAGGAAGGTAGGAAATCAGCTTTATTGCTGGATGGTCTGTTAGGAAGGACAACATCCAATTGCTCACAGGAAGACCCTTTGCAATGTGCAATTACTTAATGCACTTCTATTGACTGAGGTAATGAGGTAAGGAGAAGTGGTGTGAATGAGCTTGTGGTGTAATTTGCATGAACACTACAGGAGGAGATAATTTAGAGCCAGGGCTTAATGTTTCTGAATGATTTTAACACTTAATTTTTCAGCTTTAGGGTTAGAACTGTCAGTTAGTAAAGCATTTCAATTCCAGATGTCAGATCTGATTTTGGTTAAGATTTAGATTTTAGGGAGTGATTTCTGATGAACCACTGAAACACAAAATTGAATGAAAGCTCTTCACAATGAGTCTCGTCATAATCTAAGAGAATGACTGCTTAGGTAGACAGGTCGTGCATAATTACTGATGAAACAGATGCAGGAGCCCTGGCTAAAAGTGCTTAACAAATTGCAGTTAACAGTTTTCAACCTCACAAACTTTCGGGTCTGCTTTGGACTGTAGTAGAGAAGATTTACTATAAAGTGTAATAATAATCTTTACATTTGAAATAATGCTTTATTACATCATCGGGACATCTCAAAGCACTCCACAGGATTTTACTGTGTAGTGTATTTGAGGTTAAACTTAGCAGCCCATTTGCTCACAGCGATGTCCCGCAAATAGCCATGAAGTGAAAGACCAGTGTTATTTGGCCAGGACACTGGGAGCAACTCCCTTCTCTTTTTGAATATTGTCATGATATCTTCACTATCCACTTAAACATGTAAATGGGACCTAGGTTTAACATCTCACCCAAAGTGTGGCAGCTCTGACAATGCAGCACACCAGGGCACTTCACTGGAATTTTAGTCTTGGCTATATGAGTTCAAAGTTCTGACATGGGACTTGAACCCACAACCTTCTGACTCAGTGGCGAGGGTGCTAACGACTGAGCCAGACTAAGCCCAACTCTTTAATTCTGGGGCTTATATTTCACTTGGACTCAGATACGGTACTTTTACATGTTATCATGAGGGTAAAAGATAGAAAAGTTTTTCAGTGAAAAATTGCAAACCCCAAATTGAAGTTTCGACGTGACAGATGTGACAGGGGTTTGCTTACAGAATTCGACATAAGTACGCCAATGTACAGTTGGAAATTCCCCTGTCTCTGGAGTGGAATTCACAAGCTCTCCCACAAGGGATGCACCCTGCTTGCCTAATTCGGGAGTATTAGCTGCAGGTTGGTAAGAACCAAACTTGTTCCTGTTTTCAACCATCACCTTGGAGCTAGTTCAACTCCTTGGAGACCCCACTTATCTCCCCACACCTCCCGCCCCCACCACATTATGAAGCTTGGCTTCAGACAAACGCTTCA